AACCACATCCAATTAGCTATACCTTGCTTTGTGGTCTCAGGTTTGGAAAGGGCCCGGCAAGCTTATTACAGCAACCACTTTGCTATCCAACATCCGTGGGGAGTGAGGGATGCTGGATAGTCAAACATGACAGAAAGTCAATACGAAGGTATGTTATCACAAACCAAGAACACTAATGTTCTGCATGATCAGACATAAGAGGAAATTTACCTAGAATCAGCCTAAGTAAGTCTGCTGTATGTAGGTTTGTCCTAACAACTGTTATTACCATTATTATTCAAGTTTAATAAGAACACAAAATTACACTATTACAATATTATTATAACTGTATACTGTACACTATAATCCAAGCAAAGAGCATTGCAAAAAATGGTGTACAGATCAGTAGAACTTACCAATTTCCCTTAAAATTCCTCATTTTGTCCTCGCTTTCCATATCATTAGGACACTAATGATACGGTGCTGTAGGACTAAAAAGGTAACACAGATGAGGCAAATAAAAGAGACAACACGCACACAGAATGTGGTACAGTATGTTGTAAATATTCCGAGATAAACGTAGGCAAAGATACAGTGTCTCTCCACAATGGCAGATGGTCGCAGACTAAGAGACAGAGCATCTGATGCAGGCCAGATAGAACAAGATTTTTTTTCTCCAGATAGCAAAGGCTGATTTTGCACTGACTGGAAAATGCCAGTTAGTAAAGCATTCTGGTGAGTGAAAGGATGAACAGTAATGCTTTTACCAGTGCCTTACTGCCGCCTCAACACTTTCTGATTACCCTTCAGAGAAAAGAGAGAAAACCAGTCTTTGGTGCACCATCCTTGACTTGACCCTGGTAGGAGGGTGTGAAAACTCTGAGCCTGTGTACCTCCCTCTGCTGCCTATTTACCCCCTGATTCTCTATTCAAGAGAGAGATCGCACTCTAATGCAGTGAGTTCACATGTTTCAGCTTTGAAATCAGAACTCACAATCTGTTCCCCCATGTCTGCTATAGGCTGACTCTAGCTCTCATTATTTTAGCACTTGGCAGCATTCAGTGCTAGAGCAAGCCAGTGTTTTGGAGGGACTGCAGTTACAGCAGGCCTGCCACTAGAGGCCACCAAATGGCCTCTGTTTTTGTAAATAGACTCACTGGGGGTCAATTAATTAATTAATTCTGTTATGGGCGGAGAGTTAAACTCCTCACATTCATAATGAAGTAATTAGTGAGCATTTGGGATTTAAAGGGCTCTTAAGGTGTTTGTGGACGTTTGGTTTTAGGAAGTAAGTTTTAAGGGACACTGTCAGACTTTAGCAGTGATCCAAGATGGGGTCTCTCTTTAGAGTCTTTTAAATAGAGCACCTGCTGTTAATTCAGCAACAACGTTTCCTGCATGGTACAGGGTTGTGCTCATAAGAGCTTTGCCTATGGTTGGAGTCTGTTCTTGAGCACCCACAAACATATAGATCTTTTCTCAGTAACATACATACGTTTGTCGGTCCCCCATGTCTGCAAAGTTTTTTCCAACCAAAATTTTGATCCTGCTGTCCCATCTGGCTCTCAGAGGCTGAGGACAGCCAAGAATAGTAGCTTCTCATCTATTTGCATTTCATGGCTGAATTCCTGAGGTGGATACAACTGTGAATGTGTCCCTGTGCAGGTTTTTTCCCATGATTCATGCTTTATTAGCATTTTGTTTATAAAGTGACTGAATGTATTTTTAGTCAAGAATTCAGGCTGGAAAAAAAAATCTCCAATGCTTTAGGGATACTGCTAAAGCTCATAATTCATAATTAACATGCTATACTATAAGGATGCCTTCCTGGAATTAGAGTACAAATTTGTTTTATTGTTGTTGTTTTTTCTATATGCTTACAGCTGTTCAGCAGCTGATCATATCAAAGTTTTAATATTCTTAACCTTCACTTGGAGAGAATTAGTACACAATCCAATTGTTTATTTTGTAGTGGGAAAAATCTGAAAATGCTTTAACTGGTGCTGAATCTAATGAGATTAGCAGGAAAGCTTATGTTGGCGTGAGTTCGACGATAATGATAACCCTTGATTATTTTTCTTTCTATCAATATTAGCCAGATTTACGTTTCATTAACATCCATAGCATTTTAATTTTTCTTCTCAAGGTTTTTTTTCTTTTTATGTTTCTATTAATTTGTTTGCTGAATTGATGGCCCTTCACGCATGCAATATTTATGATTCGAAAATTTGCCCTCCGGTACTGAGAGTTTCAAAGGCCCTTGTGGAAAATGGAGAACATGCATTAAAAAATAAAGCCTTTCCATTTATCTTTATTGGCCAGAAAGAATGCTGCCAGTTCTATCTCCTTGCTTCATATAACTGCTTCTATAAAAAGACACAGGGACCCATTGCTCACAGACATTATGTCAGCATGAAGCAATTGTCCAGCCATCCCGACTCCCTCTCTATCTCCCTTTCTGTCCCAGTGTCTTCTCTGCATGGATTTTATGATAACAGGTGCCCGTTAGGCACCATTACAAAAGATTGCAGATCAGCAATTGTGATCAACAAGAAATACTTTTCATATGAGCAAAGCAGGGATGAATCTCAAACTAAACTGGAGTTTTTCTCAAATATTTCTTAAATGTGGTAAAGTCACACTTTGGTGCATGTGCACATCTGGCCATCTTTCCGGGCATATCTTCCGTGCCTGCTTTAGCTGGGAAAGAACTTGAAAAGAGCACACTGCAGTCTGGGCAGGGAGTCAGAAGCCATCTGTTGAAATCCAGCTCATCCCAGCCTCCTTTGGATCTTATGGGAAGGTGGGGTGTAGTGTTGTTATATAGATTAGGGAGTTGTGTACAATAATGAATAAGTGGCACTATGTAGATTAACTGAGTTCTCTTCTCTACATTTGCGGCTGAGTTGTGTGGTATAGATTAGTGAGGAAAGAAAGCTCTCTTGGCATGCAGTCTCTGTCAATTCCTCCTGACTCTGCATCTGCTTCTGTTAAATGTTTGGAGCTGGTCAATTTCTATTAGTCACTAGCAGTAGAGAGGCTGGAACGTCACATTCAGTAACAGCCTCCGCACGGACATGGAAGACAGCTTCAAGTTCCTCCTGTCCAGCTCCACAGAGCTCCCGTGAATTTTACTTGACATGACCTTTTGGGGCCCTGGCATCTCGGCCATCGCCCTGCCTGCCTCTCTCAAGCTCAGGACACGGTCCTGGAATCCTCCAGGAGTGACAGGTGCAAGGAACTGTGGGTTTAGTCCAGTGGAACGAGTCCAGGAACGGCAGTCCTAGACCCGAAGATCAGACCCTCCATTCCTTCAGGGTGCCCTTCCATCATCATCTCAACTCCTCTGTGACATGTTTCTGTCAGGAAACTCGCTGGCAGCTGGCTCTCGTTTCGGAGCACAAGCTGTGCGCTTTGTTCCCCTTCAGAGCAGCTTAGAGAGTGTCGAACAGCTGGGGATGTGTGTCAGAAAGTTTTATTGCAGTTTAAAAATCACATGAAGACCAGGAATATACTTTAAGTGACAGGCTGTTATATTAAAAGGCATGATAGATTATAGCTATGTATGTTATCTGAGTATCAGACTTTGTAGTGGCTGCAGAGTATTTAACAAAAGAAATAAAACACTGCTGACAAGACTGGTATTACATGATTATTACATGGTAATTAATTTGTAATTACAATGATTGCACAGTTGTAAGGGTGATTTTCTTGTAACTCGTGGTCCACCAACACTCTGTGTTTCCATAATGACACTTGTCGGTTAGGGAAATCATGTAGTCTTTAAGGTTCTCTTGTCTTTTTGTTGTGCTTCTAAAACTGTATCCATAAGCTTCTTAGTCCATATCATACAAAACCTCTTCTGCTCATGTTGCTTTTTCCTTTCTAAAAGACAGGCAGAAATCATAACCAGCAGCCTTGTTCATAAAATAGCTGCTGCAGAGCCCAGTGAGCATGCTGAGTGTTTTGTAAAAACCACCAACAAGCTGCCTTGTTTTGTTGGGGTTTTTTTTTAGTTTCAACAGGCTAGCATGCGGCAGCCGATATGAATTTAAGAGCTATTGATTTCATATGCGGAGGTGTTTATGAGACGCTCTGTGATAAAAATCTTTTTGTTTTCCCTTAATAAAACAGCCCATAGCAAGCTGAGCACAGTAGTAGCGGATTTGTGCACAGAGCCCTGGAAATGCACAAGTTTTAATAATGGCCCTTCCAGCTCCGGATTTCTGTGTTACTGATCTGTATAATTTAAATGCGCTTTTCTGAGAAATGTTATCAGCGAAAGTACGAATCTTAGAGGAGAAGTAGTGTGTAAACTATTGTAAAGGACACTGAGCATAGCATAAAAGCCAAGTACAAAGACAGAAAAAAAAACACAGAGCTGTGGATCAATTGTGCGATCAGGTAGATGATTGCAGTGAGGCTACAGAGCTGACAGAATGCAGAAAGCATTAAGCAATGTATTCGGGCTTTTAAGTCAGGAGCAGATCTCGCTCATGTGTAGCTCTTAGAGAAATGAAAATATCACCCTCCCCGAATCAATTTTCTCATGCAATGGCCTCAAATCAAAGTTCAAGGAATATGCAAGTGAAAACAAATAGCTTTATTTGTTTCTCGCCTCGTTTTGCCAAACATCCCCTAGGTTAACTCAGAAGAATGTAACGGTGGCATTTGTACATTCAGTGAAGAAAACAGCCATTCGCACTGACACACAAGTAGTACTATAGGGACGACTACAATACCAGCGCTCATAAACCGTGTAATTAGAACCTACATTTACTGAGGCAGCTGTGTTAGCCACACGAAAACAAAATGAAAAGTTAATTTGATACCCAAAGCAGAGTCTAAAAAGCTTCTACTCGTCAAAGAGTCATTAGTTCCATTAGCACCAGTGTGCCTAAAATAAGTAGTCTGACACCAGACTTGTGCTATTCAGGTTAAAGACCTTTAAACCCATCTTCATGAACATGGTGCGAAACCGAAGTACTCAAACCCTGTTGGTCACCTCTCTCTCCCGTAGGGCTGTTCCACAGAGCTATCATCCAGAGCGGTTCTGCTCTGTCCAGCTGGGCAGTGAACTACCAGCCTGTGAAGTACACCCGTCTGCTGGCCGAGAAGGTGGGCTGCAACGTGCTGGACACACTGGACATGGTGGACTGCCTGCGCAAGAAGAGCGCCCGGGAGCTGGTGGAGCAGGACATCCAGCCGGCCCGCTACCATGTAGCCTTTGGGCCCGTCATTGACGGCGACGTCATCCCCGACGACCCCGAGATACTGATGGAGCAGGGCGAGTTCCTGAACTACGACATCATGCTGGGCGTCAACCAGGGCGAGGGGCTGCGGTTCGTGGAGAACGTGGTCGACTCCGAGGACGGCGTGTCCGGCAACGACTTCGACTTCTCCGTCTCCGACTTCGTGGACAGCCTGTACGGCTACCCGGAGGGCAAGGACACTCTGAGGGAGACCATCAAGTTCATGTACACGGACTGGGCCGACCGCGAGAACCCCGAAACTCGCCGCAAGACCCTGGTGGCCCTGTTCACCGATCACCAGTGGGTGGAGCCGGCGGTGGTGACGGCCGACCTGCACGCCCGTTACGGCTCGCCCACTTACTTCTACGCCTTCTACCACCACTGCCAGAGCCTAATGAAGCCCACCTGGTCTGACGCCGCCCACGGAGATGAGGTGCCCTACGTGTTCGGCATCCCCATGATCGGCCCCACCGACCTCTTCCCCTGCAACTTCTCCAAGAACGACGTGATGCTCAGCGCTGTTGTCATGACCTACTGGACCAACTTCGCCAAAACTGGGTGAGTTTCATCTGTTGAAACACATTACTCCCGCTGTAACTCTGTAATCATCTTCCCAGGTGATTTCACCGGGAGAACAGCAAGGTGTTCTTTCATTTTTGTAATGAAAACAAAATTTGTTCATGTCTCCTCAATCACCTTCCAGTTGGATTTCACTTCCCAAACGAGACTGGAAGCACAATTTGTCGGGGGACAGGGGTGGCACAGTCTCTGCAGGGCCAAGATCTTCATTTTGTGGCATCCTTGCCCCATTCCTCTCTAGGCTATGTTTGAGAACCATCTATTATTTACAAAGCTGTTACCAAACAATATTAACCAGATTGTTACTGCACCATTGATCTAAGCATTACAACACTCCTGAGCTGATTGCTGTGGCATTGTGAACCTGTCACTCCATTATGTACCTGATGCTTACTGTTATTAACCTGTCACTTTGTTATTTAGCTAACCTTTACTTCATTATTCACTGCACTTTTACTTCATTATTGACTTAATCGTTCCCTGTCCTCTATTTGGCTGTTACTCCATTATTTACTGGACTGTTGTTCCATTTTTTCCCCTAGCTGTTACTGGGGGTCAGTCAAGTACTCACAGAGCGGGTTATGAGACAGTCCTGCAGCAACTGCCTGAATGTGTTGCACATCACAGGGCCGGAGTGGGATTCTTCCCACTGTGTGTGGCTGTGATACCCAGGAGACAGACGGCCATTAGCGAAAGCATCACACACTGAGTCTCTAGAGTACTATTGATCACAGCCCCCCCCCTCCAGTCAATCCCTGGTGCCTCAAGTGCCTTTCTTTATTTCTGAAATTAATTCTGCCCGAAGCACAAAACAGCATAGATCTGCGTGAGGAGCAGAGTTATAACATATTACATCTAACGATTGAAACTTAATTTGATCTGTGCTGTTTCCAAAGAAAATCAATGGTGATGACTGTAATCTTAAATTATTTCCCTGTTTACCTGTCTCTACATTTGTTAGCAAAAGCAACAATAGCAATTGACGTTGGTATAGCGCCTTTCTTGACACAGCGTTTCAGAGATCAAACTAAAAGAACAGGATTAGGGCTTGTTAGAAGAGGAAAAGAGAAGCTGCATGCTTAGCAAATTGCTAACAGCTCCCAATTTGGATGAAAAAATTCTAAAAGTCTGATTTTAATTGAGAAGCAGACCTTATCGCTTGTACAATGTTTCACATGAGCAGAAATGTCTGTGCTAAATGAGTGCTTGAGAGAGAAGGGCAATCAACCAGTTTTCCAGTTGTTGTTTTTTATAGGAAATAAAACTGATGCATGACATCCAAAATTCAGGAACGTGCTGTGGGTTTTATCAGGGATAAAAAGAGAGTGACATTGCGTTGGTGAATGTCACTGACGTGGCTCTATTATTATAGCTGTTCCTGAGGAAAAACTGACCAAGACGAGACAGGTTTAAAACAGCTCAGTCTGAGCCCCTCCCTCGCTGTGCAGTATTGTGTGTGGTAAAACAGTAGGAGACTAGCTTTTAAAGACCTGAGGATTATAGACGTGAATAATGAAGAAACCCCTCCTGGGTTTGCACAAGAACAAAGGCAAACAAGAGGAGAGTAATTTAGCTCCATTTCACCTGTTTGACTGCTCAATAGTAAGTCAATCCCAGAATCCAATCCAGCCTTTTATTGAAGGATCCCAGATAGTGAGTCTTCAACAAAGGGCTTCTTTCAGCTTGTCAGCAACAGCAGCATCAAACCTTCACACTGTTAAATTTGCACCAATAAAGAACCAGTTGTTTCATTTGGATAAAATTAAAAAAAGGAAGAGAACAGTTGATCATTCTAATTATGTGATGTAGTTGCATAATTATAGTTGCATTCTTTTAGTATCTGATTTGTTCAGATGTGTTGGATTTTGTGTGTGTGTGTGTGTATGGCTGCAAACTCCTAGAGGAAGAACCCATTTTTAATACAAAAAGAAAGATAGATGTGTGATGCAGCTGTGAAGTTTGGCCTAAGCTGATAAAGCTCTGCCTTGATAGGAGCTAGACATGTTTGGCTCCCTTGCCTGTGCTCCATCACGGGTGCTGTGCAGAGCTGTGCATTACTGTGGCCAGTGCTGGTTTAGATTAGGCAGGCCTGGTGTGCTGATAATCACCCTCTGCAGTGCAGCACAGCACTGTAAGACAGGCTGCAAGATAAAAGGTGCTATTTAAGACAAGAACAAGGGCACCACCGTGTTGCCTGAGCAGAATACAAGCAAGCTTTCCAAAACTGCTAAAAGTAAACAGCTGGGGAATACTTAGAATCACATTTTAGGGGTGTGATGTCTCTCCAGTTAGAAATCTGTGCAGTTGCTTTTCATTAAATTGAACTCATTCAGTTTAATTCAGAGAGTATCTTATCTGCGTGTCGCAGATATAAATAAAAATGTAATTAGACCATTTCTTTGTGCAATATTCATCTTCTGAATGGCCACAATCATAGACTCACACAAATGCAAAGAGGAGGAAGTGTAAACCACTGTAACAGATATCAGACTGCAGAGCAGTGCAGAGCGGTTTGCTCCTTCCCAGATTTTAAGACCTGCAGGAATTAGGAAGAGGCGTACCACCAAAGTGATAACACAAATATTGTCTATTGAGTAACATTTTATTTGAACTCCACGCACCCCCTCCTCAAAATAAGATATCTAGCATCGCATCTTACCTGTAGCGTGGCATTATTCTGCTTCACCCTGTGAGTTAGTACAGTGTGTAGCATTCCTCTCTCTCACCTGACTGATCTGTGATTGCAGATACAGCAGACACAAGCCCTGCCTACTCCAAACCAACTCTGCACTTTTCCATTTCTCAAAGCCCATAACTCCACATTCCCCTCTCAAGGCCATTAACATAGAGGATGTTGTCATCAAGTCTTTTTCCTTATTCTTAGACTTCTCCTCCCTGTCGAAGTGGAAATCCAGCTATTGAGTTAAATTGTCTCTAGCTCTTGTCCTCAGTACACCACACCTCCTCCCCTTTTGTTTTTGCTCGAGACCACGGAGCTCACTTTTAAAAAGGGCTCACGGTTTGAACTGCGAAGAGCTGCACCTCTGTTTAATTAAACGCATTTTTGTCAGTCAGGGGAGCTCTGCGTAACCAATTAACCTCCACAGAGAAGCCTTCACGGGCCTAACCAGCTCCGCGGTGCAGAAACTGACAACGAGCCGCTCTTAAGAAGTGAAGTTCAGTCTTTCCCTTAAATTTGGAACTTTTGAAGACAAGGAGCTTGTAGCAATGCCCACTTAGGCCCTAACCACTCAATTAAAACTTGATCACTTGAGAGGAGATTTGCAGCTGATATTCGGATTTGCATTAAAGGGTGTCGAGAAATCGCGCCACTTGTTAGGAGTTTGAATATCATTGATTGGGAGCTGTGGTGTGGTGTGCCTGGAATGTAATGAGCACGGGGAGAGCAGGCTTGTTCCCAGAAAGGATTCCTGCTACTAAGAAGGGAAGAAAGGAAACAGGCCCCTTGTCAGCTGTCTCTCACCTAATCCTTCTAATCAATGGCTGCTCATGCCACCTGTAGACAGTGAAGAGGCCTTATGACTTCTAAATACGCCCTACCCCCATGCAAGCAAGGCTATTTTGTCATTCTCCTGAGCTTGCCTCTTACTGAGATAACCCTGCAGTGGAATGGCCCATTCGTTCTAAGTGCAGCTGAAACCCCTTGATAGCAGCCAACCAGCTCAGCCCCCCTGTTGGTCCTCTAGCACTGAGCATCTCTCGTTGATTGTGTAAGAAGAAAAGCAAGCCATTAATTACGGCCTTTGTTCTGCGGGACTGCACAGTGAGTCATAGGACAGAAACAGGCAGAAGGAGGAGCACATTCTGAAGCCTTAATTTTTTGGAAGGGCAAAGGACACTCATTCCCTCATATGATTATTTTCTGTTTATGGGGTCTGGTTTATGTTTTCTGAGATTCACATATGCTTCAGCCTGGCTTTGAAGGTCGAAGGTGTGAGAGCAAACTTACTTCAATTTTAAAGGGTAGCACACTTTAAATAGCAGCTTGGTGACCCTGCAATCTGCACTGGACAGCTGATCTAAGTATCAGGATTGTCTGTCTTGGGCTCTGGGACCAGGCACCCATCCACAGAGCAAAAGGAAATAACAGACAATACCTGGAAACTGTACCGAAACGCATTTGAAAATCTAAAAAGGTTAGTTTGAATAATGAATTAATTTGCTGCATATGGCTAACTATACTTAAGGGACTTATTGGCGCATCTGACCGTATCTAAAATATAATTAGACTGTTTCTTTGTACAATATTCATCTTCCGAATTGCCACAAGCATAAACTTTCACAAATGCAAAAAGGAGGATGTGAAAAGTGCATCACCAGACATCAAACTCCCACTGCAGAGCAGGTTAATCTATTTCAGGTTTTATGACCTGCAGGATTCAGGAAGAAATGTACTACTGAAGTGATAAAGAAAATGTTACCTATTGAGTACCATTTTCTTTAACTCCATGTTTGAGCTATATTTGCACATCTCAAAATAAGTCTAGGTCCTGATTCCAAAAGAATGTACTCTGTCCAAGGTAGGCAATTGGCTTAAGGGACATGAGACAGATTCAGTAAGCACTCATTGAAAGGTAGTGCCACCAGCACTACCCTGATGACCACCTCATCTAAAGGCTTTCCTGTTAGAAGATGAGGTGGCAATATTTCAAAACCCTGTGGAGTGCACATCCTGTTCAGAGTGTTATTGCCATCCACAGAGGCACAACACTATATTCTACGTGAGAACCCAATATTTTAGCCAGTGAGCACTGAGCAACAGAACAGTCAAATGGCACAATCTATAATCCAGTGCAAATATTGTTTCCACCTCTGCACTCAACAGTCATAGCCCCCTGAGCTGAAGGGATTGTGAGATCCCAGTGCTCCTAGAAATACAGAATTAAATTTATCAGTGAAAACATCATGTAGAGTCTCAGACACCAAAGAATTGTCTCTTTGCCACTGCTTATAATAATAGTTGTCCAGCTCTTTATTTTAAAGCCAACATTTAAGTGGGACCGGTGAGCTGATTTAGTTGTCAAATCATGCAGCACACAAGTGTATGTGTTTTATCATTGGATTTGGCTGAAAAGCATTACGTTTCTTTTGTAGAAATTTCAACTACAAAGAGGGAACGGGAAAAATGGAATTAATTACCTGCTCTGTTTTGTGTGTGCTTCTGTGTGTATGAGCGAGTAATTACATAAAGCAAGCATTTGTTCTTTCCTTTTTTTTTAATTCTGTAAATTAAATTATGGAAAAAAAGGTTTGCATATTGATGTCTCCAGCTGTGGGGGTTTGTTAATTACATTTTGCCAGATTAATATTGTTCTTTCTGTTTGCGAATGCCACCTGAATGTATCCAGTTGACAGCGCGCATGAAAATATTCAAGCCACTTTGCCACTGGCTGCAAGAAACACACATACTGTACGCAGTTGCCTGTGCACGTCACTCATCCACACCTGCAGAGAAGCATGCACTCCTGGGCCTGACACACGGACAAATACTAACAAGAGGAAACAGAGGCCAATAATTCACTGAGCAGTTATGGCTCCCGACTGAAGAGTTGCAGGTTCAAATCCCATCTTTGGATTAACTCTTGTGGGGTGGATATTTCAGATGTTCGTTTTGCAATTTTTTTTTCAGAAGTCTGTTACAGGGGAAATCAGCAGTTCCCAGTGCAGTTGTATTTTTTTGCCAGCTGGCCTATATCTTACCTGCAGCTCCACACAGGGATGTGCTGAGCTGACATGAGCTCCACTTCCTAACGTTAAATAAAGGAGCACCCTGCCGAAAACTCTCTTCCGAGAAAGTTGATGAAGTCTCGCTAAGTGGGAAGCACTGCAAAACTGAATCTGTTTTCAAGGTGAATGTGCAAAACAAAGTTCTGTAAGATGAATTTCAAGAGTGCCATTGATTTTGTCGCAGTATGTGCTCTTTGAGATGCTTTGCTCTTATTTCAGTTTGGTAGTTAGAATTGGTTGAATTTTAGTCCTTGGCAGGTATACCAGAGACTATTCCATCTCTAAGGCCAGGGAAGCATATAGCAGCACTGAGAACGTGTTCTTCATGTGCAATACGTGAACAATCGATATGACCTTACCTCTTTTGTGTGTGCTCTCGCAAAACTTAATTACTGACGTTCCACTGCAAAGTCAGGGGTCAGCCGTCAATATTCATTTGGAATGATCACTGCAGTAACAAAGCAAGTTTGGTGTATGCCCCATCGACAATAAAGTAACACTTCTGATTTGTTCTTAGTCATTATTTGTACGCTTGATCCCAGCAGTCCAAACTTAAGAGACAATGCTGGCACCGGGCTGATAATGGTGTGCCAATGCAGTCTCCAGCAAACAGGGGCTGCTGTGTGTTTCAGCGAGGTGAGAATCACAATGTATTCAGAGCAAGTGAAGTCCAGACGGGAAATGAAGATCAGATCACCCCCCTCCTCCAAGAGTGACCTAAATACCTTATCTGCACTGCAGTGAGTGTCATATTGTCTATCTGACCTGAGAATCTCTATATTGTGATCCCTCTTTCACTGCATTGCAGCACTTCATTACTGTGTTTGCAGGAGTCGGACCTAGAAAAGTGTGCTCTCTTCCCAGCTCCCACGGCTTACGGGATGTTTGCAACAAGGAGGCTTGGGATTGTTCCCGACTGCCATATGCAAATGCAGCCGATAAATCAATACAGTCATGTAATTAGAGTTGCGGGCCAACGGAAGCTGAGTGGTAAACACTGCCCCCTAGAGGTGGATCCCTGCGACTGCTCCCATCAGGTTCAGCCCTGCAATTGGCTCCAGCTTGTGTACCGTTCCTGTGGTTTGAGATTTGTCGAATTGACGTTGGCAGGAGTCCCCCTGCCTTCACAAAGTCATTCCCAGTGTGCATTGCACTGCTCTTTAACACAAACAAGCTGCTTACTCAAACATACAAACTCTTACGTGTTCTGTAACAATTCTGAGTTGAAGGCGCTTTGCTGTAATGCGTTGAATGTTGAACAGGACGCGCATGTAGATAAACTCACCGCTGGTCTGGTTCTGTTTTTCTAGGGACCCCAACAAGCCGGTGCCCCAGGACACCAAATTTATCCACACAAAGGCCAACCGCTTCGAGGAGGTGGCGTGGTCCAAGTACAACCCCCAGGACCAGCTGTACCTCCACATCGGCCTGAAGCCCCGCGTCAGGGACCACTACCGCGCCACGAAGGTGGCCTTCTGGAAGCACCTGGTGCCCCACCTGTACAACCTGCACGACATGTTCCATTACACCTCCACCACCACGAAGGTGCCCCCGCCCGAGACCACCCAGAACTCCTTCGCCACCAAGAGGCCCAACGGCAAGCCCTGGCCCTTCAACACCAAGCGGCCGCCCATGTCCCCGGCCTACAACAGCGAGAACGCCAAGGAGAAGTGGAACGGCGAGGAGGAGAGCGGCCCGCTGGTGGTGGAGAACCCGCGCGACTACTCCACGGAGCTGAGCGTCACCATCGCCGTGGGCGCCTCGCTGCTCTTCCTCAACGTGCTGGCCTTCGCCGCCCTCTACTACCGCAAGGACAAGCGGCGCCAGGACTCCCACCGGCAGCCCAGCCCGCAGCGCAGCGCCAACGCCAACGACATCGCCCACGCGCCCGAGGAGGAGATCATGTCGCTGCAGATGAACCAGACCCACCACGAGTGCGAGGGCGTGCCCCCGCACGACCCGCTGCGCATGGCCTCCCTGCCCGACTACGCGCTCACCCTGCGCCGCTCGCCCGACGACATCCCCCTCATGACGCCCAACACCATCACCATGATCCCCAACTCGCTGGTGGGCATGCAGAACCTGCACCCCTACAACACCTTCACGGCCGGCTTCAACAGCACCGGGCTGCCTCACTCACACTCCACCACCCGCGTATAGCTTTAACCCCCAGGCCAGAGGGAGGGGGGCAGAGGGGGGAGACAAGGAAGGAAGGGGGAGGGGGGAGGGTGGGGGCTAAGATTTCCTTTTTATAAATAACGCGGGATAGGAGGAGAACGTCGAAAGACACGACAGACTCTTCCAACAAGAAACACGTTGGTTTTAATACGGCAAGGCCCGGAAGCCCTGGATGTCAGTATGGTGCCGAACTGCCAAAACAGAACAGCCTCTCGCCTCTCGCAGGAGGAGAGGCTTTCCACGACACTTGTTTTCTATTTTCAAAGAACAACAACAACAAAAAAAGCCTTTTAAGCAGACTGGAAAATTAAGAAATGAACAATTTGTTTTCATATGAACAAAAAAAAAAGTGCTTTTTATTTCCCATTTCTGTCTCCTTGTGGGAAATTAGTTTAAAAACAATGGCCTCTACTGAGATGTCTACAGTTTTTGTTCAGTTTTCTTTTCTTTTTTTTTTACAATGCCTTACAAAAAAAAAAGCTACGTCCTTTATTTACGTTTTTTGTTCACTCTTTCTGACCTGCGACATTCTTGCCGCGTGGAAGTTTCAGAAGCGAAGGAGAAAAAAATAATAAGCATTAAACAACCATATCGTCCGTTGCATATCTTTATTAAACAAAAAACGAGTGGGGTTTTATTTTTGGTTCGTTTTTTTGACTTACAATATGAATGGTTTGTGTCTCCTGAAATAGACTCTGAGTGAGAAACGCAGAGACAAAAAAATGTACTACTTTACTGTGATTGTTTTGTTAAGAAAAAAAAAGTGCATCTTTTGCTAAAAGATTATCTATCAAACTAGCTTATTGATCTCTCCATAGTCATGCACACCTGCACACAGAGCTGTGCATGAGGGAGAGAGCTGAGCTTGTATGTACCTGTACACCTCTCATTGGGTTCGTAGAACATTTGTGTGTGGTAGGGGCCACTTGATTTTCCTCACCACATGTAGTGTTTCAGCTGCGTCAATGGTTGTCTGTCTTTTGCGGAATAGCACTTTTGTTCTTTTTAAAGTTATTTACATCTAATTTTTTCTTTTTTTAAAAAAAAAGAAGAAATCTGTGATTTAAAATGTAAGGAATACTAGCAGAAGATACAGCTGAACTAACTGACACAATTCTACCGGCTTTTGTAGGAAGGGATGAGTTCCACTTAGCAGAGACACAGCAGCCTGAAAGCGCTGAACAGAGCCCTGCTGAAAAGGAATACCAGCGCACACTTTTATTTATAGATTCATATAAATATCGACTTATATAAATATATATACAGGGCTGTTATAAAGAGATCTGTCCTGCTGACTGGAGATGCAGTCATTCAAAACATTCTGCACATTTACTGCCATCGTAGTTTAACATAATGGGCCTTGGGCTGCTGTCTTTATAACAGTTCTCTATGTATATATACACATTTAATATTTATATATATATGAATATGAGATGTATACCTGCTGATTGTGCCATGTGCCAAATTACAACCAGCAAACTTGAGAAAACAAAAAAGTTTTACAAAGCAGTATTTTTTTTAGTGTAAATTTGTTCTGTATTTTGATAAACATTCTGTTCACTTGTGTTTTTTTTTGTTAATATCAGTTTGTAGTTTGACGTCAAACGTGGGAAGGGGTGAAGTCCCGATGCAACTGGTTTGTGAGACATTTCTGCCTCATGACTTTCCACGGTACCCACAGGCAATCGAGCTAAAGCTTCTGTCCGCACACCGGTCAGAACAAGTGTGAATGCGAGAACCAGTCTCGCTGGGGTCAGGGGGCGGGGACTCGGGGTTCAGGGGGAGGGAACTCGGGGGTCAGAAGGAGGGGTCAAGGTCAGGGGGATGGACCTCAGGGTCAGGGGGAGGGGACTTAGTGGTCGGGGGCTTGGAGGAAAAGATGGAAGATGAATTGGACAGGGACAGAGCTGGACAGGCAAGGAGAGACTGAAAGGATTTGACCCAGAGAAGGGAAAGATTGTCCGTCTCCCAGATAACACACCATCTGTGCCGTAGTGTGGCTGAGGGAGGGTAGATCGCACGTTGCTGCCTGGCTGATTGTTTCGTGAAGGTGAGAATGGGTTTTTTCTTTCCGAAAGTGGCAACCATGGTGCTGTCTATGCACAGAGCAAAAAAAAAATCCCAAGGCGCTCGACTTTTAATCCAACACTTTTGCTGGCTTCCTCTGGGAAGCGAGGTAGAGGCTGCAAGAATCCTGTCATTCATTCCCAGCATTCCCTGGTTTCTTTCATCTTTGATCTCATTAGAGATATACAGGGTTGTAATTTCTGGTTTGCTGCGTAAGATGTCACACAACCCCCAGTAACAGGCCAAAGTGTGTGCATGCAGCACAGACAGTACTGGTGTTTTGAAACTGACAAGAGGGGAAAGAGCAAACATGGTTTAAGTTTATGCAGCCTGTAGCCCAGCTTGTTTTGTGCCATAGTAGTCCAATACAGAGGTAGATGCAGTGGAAGGAGTCTGCTGTGTGTTCTGTAGACTGTGTGGTCTCACCTCACAGTTGCACACTCAAAAAGCAGTCCGTCGCAGATGTGGTAGTGTTCAGCTGAACACAGGCCCTTGGAAATCAGTGGCACTAGACTTAATGGAGAGCTGGGTGTTAATTCCAGACCATTTAAATCATCAATCCTAAACTGGAGCTCGTGAGAGGCTGTGTGTTTGCACTGCAATGAGAAGTGAGTGGCAGGAGCTTCGCCAAGCTGTTTTCTATCTGTGCTCAGCAGGGCACTACTTATTATTGTCTCTTAGCTGGAAGGGAAACGACTGCAATTTAATTGTCTGTGTCCTTAGATGGTCCTCCCTTGAGAATCTGAGATACGGCCCTACTATCAGGGGAAAAGGGAACCTTAATACATCAGCTGCACCATACTAAACACCCGAGCCAGGAGTTTTTTTTTCCTTATGAAAGGAAGGGCTATTAGTGAGGCAGAAAGAAGAACGAGATGCAGAAATGAGCTTAGAAATAGATTGCAGGGCTGGGCGGGAGAGTGGTCAACAGGGAGGAAACGCAGATTAAAGGAAACCGCAGTGCCATCTCCAAAGGCAAGGATTGTGTCGTCTGCTGCAAACCCGGTGGCCCTCCGTGGGTGCAGGCACGCTCCGGGTGACTGGAAATTGTGCTATCCCTGTCCAGAGCTTGCACTCTGCTTGCTGCAGACAGACTGACCTGGTGCAACATGGCGCAAGAGCACAGTACTCTGTTAAACATTCTGCATGCAGACCGCCCCAGCCCTGGGCGCTTTCCAGTCAAAACACAAAAGTCTGCTGCCTAGTCAGCTCAGCTCCAAGCCAGTCTGCTCCAGGAAAGGCATTTTTAAATCAGACAGGGCCAACACCAATACTGGCCTGGTCATTCAACCCAATAAAAAAAAGGGAGAGGCCTGTGTTGGGGGGCGCAGGGAGGGGGTTATTAGTATTAGGTAGCAGTGTGCAGGAAAGGTTGAAGCTCTGGAATCATAATTGCAAGGTTGTGGTGCACTGCTGGTGTATCCTTAAGCAAAGCACATCACTCAGTACCGATACAGATTCACTGCAGTATGATATAAAAATATATAAATGGGCACCAGGATAAGTTGCTTTGGATAAAAGCATCAGCCAAATCAATTAACAGTAAAAGTCACTTTGATGCAACAGTGCCAAAATCAGACAGAATAGCCAGTAAGTCACCTGGTTCGCCAGTCTCGAAGGTGTCACAGGGGTGAGTGCAGTTCCGGAGGATCACCAGTGTGTAGCAGTGCAGCTCCAGACTGGATGACATTGCAGACTCCAGATACAGTCAAAAGATCAGCCCGAGGGGAAAGATATCAAGGAGAATCCGTCAACTGCACTTCCGTTGTTAAACAAAACTGTGTGATAATTCAAGTGCCGTGATGGGGAAACAAAATAATCAGAAAATTGTACACAAATAAGAGACAAAGGGGAAATGCGCCTGTTTTCTTTTCAAATCCTAACCACAGTACATTGTTCTTCCCAGATTGGTTTGGCTAACAGCCAATCGCAATGACTATCAGAGAGTTCAGTCCTGTGAGATGATAGGTACTAGTGCTCAGCACTGTGTTGAGTCAGAAAACAGCAGAAACAGTACTGGTGTTGTTTCAACTTGTGAGCTGCTGGGGACCAAGCAGATGTTGCTTCAACTGGTGAGACGTAAAAATAAAAAGTATAATTTTTAGGTGTTCGAGGTGGTGCTTATTCTGCTGGAGAGACACTGCAGGGATAGTGATGTGGCATCTTCACAGTGGTTGAAAGAGGGATTTTTCTGGGAGACTTGGCGTGTCTGTAATGAGCCGGTAGGGTCTTTTGGAATGGCCAGGATCAGTGACTGGGGCCGCCACTGTTTCAGAAGTGTAAGCTTGATTCCTCCTTTGTACCTGTGATTTCAATGAAAGTTGCCAAACTTTTCTGATGCTTAAATATCGTTCAACACAAAAAAAAGCGCAATCCGATTTTCACTGCGGCGAAAAAGGTTTGATATATTTTTCAGGTTTGTAATTAAAAAAAACAAAGCAACGATACTGGAGCTGTGCGAATCACCTACCTTAAATATTTTGAAACATTTGTAAGTGACAATAAAAAAAATAATAAAGAAAGAAGGGGTGTGTGACTTTCTCCAGGTAGACTGCTGGTTGATTTGCGCAGATTATCCACCTACAACTTGTTTCATCGAAGCCATTGTGCAGAAAGCCTTGCACATCTTCCTAGGAATAAAGAGTCATCGAAGATTATGAAATGTCCATAGAATGTATTTATACCAGTTCACATTGAAGTAACATATCCAAAATAAAATATCTATATATCTATATATATCTCAGTGTGAGTCCTCTTGTGATTACACTAACAGACAGTAGAGGGCGCCAGTGCAGTGCTCACCTGTGTGCCGGTGGCTGGGGGAATCTGTCTCATGGAGCCTAAAGTGTGAGCATGACTAAAAGAGTTAGGAATGACCTGTTTCCTGCTACCATTGCTCTCCAGGCTTGACAGAATTGGGGAATCATGAATCTCTTCTCAGCACCTGATGGCAAAGCCCAGCACTTGCCTAGTATAGACCAGTAGTAGGATCAACTACTAATATACACTACTAGTAGTAAGATCCTGTCTTTCTACACCCTGAGGTTCATATAACTTCTGTCATTTCCTTGATCATCTAGAATAATAAAAAAATTGCAATTAACTGTTACACTAACAGTTATTGAAGGTGTTTTATTACAACCTGAACTTTGGTCTCTTTCTTTGTCTTTTATGTGTTTTCTCTCATTCTGTCTGTCCCTGAGTAAATGACTGGTCACTTCAGTGATGCAATGTGGGTCAGGCAGGTGTGGAGGCTC